GTATCTATCCTGGGCATTGTCTTTCACAATCACAGTAAAAAAAAATGTGCGTTGTGTCAAGATGTGGTTGCATATTATGATGACGTATTATGACAGAATGGAAATTTTTATGTATATGAACAGTAAAATAAAATCTGAATCTGAAACATGTCAACGATTATTAAGGCTATCATAGTTTTATTATTTTATTTTCAAAGAGTGTCTCGTATATACTATATTTTGTATACGTATGTATATGGAAAGGTGGATTTCGAATGCTGCATTTATCAAAATAGGATTAAACTAATGTATTACTAAAAAGTAGAAAGAAATTGCAGATGAGAAAGTTGATGATGATGATGATGATGATTAATGATTAATGTTATTATTATTATTATTATTATTATTATTATTATTATTACAATAATTATCTATTCAGCAGAAGCAAAATCAAGACAAAGTCGATAGCAGAGCTAACAAAGTTTCAAAAGAGTCACATGGATGCCGGGAAAGGAAAACGATTAATAATTACTATAACCTGTCGTCTTTATTAGATTTAACAGACAATTAGTTGTAAGTGTAATTTAAACGGATCGAAAACATTGGTGTTTGCCTTAAAATTGGAAAATGAATTACACAGCAAGCATTATGTTCATTCATAGGCCTAGCCTATTGCTCTCGATAAAATAAAAGAAGTGAATACATGTACATGTTGCTCAAGCAGGACATTGAACATAAACATGGATGTGAAGAGGGCGCTGTGCAACTGGTGACAAATTAATCATATTGAGGGTGATCACATATTATGGGGCTAACTTAAATTAAAAGCAAACTGCATTACATGATAAGGTCAAACATAATTATTGAGGATGGCCTACAAGAGGGCATTTCATGATATAAGGTCATTAACAATGCATTCGAATTTTAAACATTCGGGAGTGGCTGATAATAAGGAGCTGACTTGGAGAAAATAAAAATAAATATATATTAAAGGTTTTGTTTTAATTCTAATCAGTATAATTCAGTTATTAAGAATAACATCAAGGGAAATGAATTGCACACAGACAATAATATATCTTAAGAATGAAATTGTGAAAAATTTAAAACATAAATACATGTCATTCTCCTGCGTTGCCAAGTCGTATCGGGTCTTTGGATTCAACTTACATTAACACCTTGGACTTGAAGTTTTGAGAGCCAGGTACTAAGATATAAAGACACAACACCAGTCTTCAGATCAATGGGAGAGTATCACAACAACGGAAAGATGTGTGAATGGCAGAGCTATAGAGCCAGCGGGTACGAGACTTTACATTTAGATAATTGCATAAAACGATGGCAGAATATCATTATTCAATATGTATAGCAGAGTGAGCAGTTAAGCATTTCACGAGGCCTTCAAGACTGACAACAAAATTATTGAGAGAAAAAATGATGTACCTGTTCAAGCTTGGAAGGCGTATAATAATATTCCTTTTTTTAGGTTGTGAAAGAAGAAAACACAAAAAAGGTAATTTGATAGCATGAAAACAGTTGAAATCAGTAATGGCACAGAGATATTTCTATTAAATACGATCTGATTTAATGTCATAATATATATTTTCCCTTCTTCTTCATCTATAAAACTACTGACTACTAGAATTCTAAACGAAAACGCTCCCTTTCCAATAAAAAAATTAAATCGGAGGATTTCAATTTGTTACAAAAGAATCGAGGAGTTGTGCCAAAATAACATCACCCACCGTGACCGACTCATCAATAGGAGTAGCTCACTATCAATAGATATGTTGATGGATTCGCAGCTTGCATATTCTTTGTCCGCATTTGCTCGGTTTTCCCCTGAGTTCCCCGTTTTCTCTTTCTTGTTCCTGTTTCCCCAGCTCACTTGAGGCAGGGAGATATCAGTTATAACTGACTTCTCCCTGCTTGAGGCTATTTCCCCCTCATAATGTCTACGCATCACCCCCATACAGAGAGAGAGAGAGAGAGAGAGGGGGGGGGGGAATAGAGAGCTGAAGAGAGAGGGGAAGAGAGAGAGAGAGAGAGAGAGAGAGAGAGAGAGAGAGCGAGAGAGAGAGAAAGAAGAGAGAGACGAATACTGCAACAATAAACCAGAATTTGCCATCTGATTCATTTCATACCATTGGAAATTAACTATCCACTATTTCACTTTAAAGTTCATTGACATATATATGGACGGAATCTACCATGTAATGTTGATGAACTGCCAAAGGTATGGTTAGCAAAGTTTCGCGATTATAATTAAGGCAAAAAAGAGTCAATAGGACAAGAAATTAATACAAAGGATAGTCCTATTCCCATTACTTAATTCATTTAATTTCAATGATGGATTCATATTTACCAGTAGAAGGTACTTTTCGGGTAGGTGCTACGTTGGTGAGAATAAAAAAAATAAAATAAAGTCAAGTCTAATGTTGGTTGGTTCTAGTTTATTTAAAAGTTTGAGGAAACGATCTTCATGAGGGTTAAATTGGTGATACATAGTTCTTAAAATTGACAACAATGCCATTTTCTTTTACTTCTACATTGTAATCTGTGAAATCAAAACACAAGCGCAAACACAAATTCTCGAAAAGTTGAAACAACGGCCAACTTTAATCGAAGAACATTGTCAGACAAGATTCTATGGACATTCTCCTCTTCAGAATCTATTTCACAAGGACATGCTTTTCACCCACGCTCCACAGATCTATACCATTGATCATAATTTACTTTTGATGATAAACCTGTCTGCTTAAACAACTTAAAGGGAAAGTCCACCCCCAAAATAAGTTTGTTTCGATAGAGGCAGAATAATAAGAAAATCAGGTGAGTGAAAGTTTGAGCAAATTCTGAATGAAAATAAGAAAGTTATGAATTATTGAAGTTGTGATCAATCAAACACAAATTGGCAACTCTATGACGTATCATGCGAGCTCAACTTCCATTTGCTCAGTACTAAAAAAATCTAAAATTTTCATTTTCCCTCAAGAAAAATTTCAACCATACATGCACCCTAAATATAATAATTGCAAATATGTTTCTATACTCCCCCTGCAAGAAACAAATATATATTCCGTCATCAATAACGAAGAAAACATGATTTTATGGAATATTATGCACAAAGCAAATGAAGGAGAGCTCGTATAATAAGTCACAGAGTTGCCAATTTGTATTTGATTGATCACAACTTCAATAATTCATAACTTTCTTATTTTCATTCAGAATTTGTTCAAACTTTCACTCACCTGATTTTCTTATTATTCTGCCTCTATCGAAACAAACTTATATTGGGGGTGGACTTTCCCTTTAACAATACGATCTTATGGTCTTGTGTTTCCTTTATTTCAGATCCAGCCTACGAACGAACGCACACACAAAAAGAGAAAACAAAATGTGTACATTTCATATCATGGGAAAATGATACATGAGGGTGTGAGTGTAGGTGTGTGTATGTGTTTGTGTGTGCAAGTAGGCGCATACAGATAGAGAGAGAGAGAGAGAGAGAGGAAGGGAAATAGAGTGCTAATAAAGAGAGAGAGAGAGAGAGAGAGAGAGAGAGAGGGGGGGGGGGGGGAGGGGGAAGAAAGAGAGAGAAAGAGAGAGAGAGACGAATACTAAACAGTTTAAAATGAACGGCATAACCCCTATCAATTAATTCACTTTAAAGTTCATTGCCATCTATATGGACGGAATCTACCATGTAATGTAAGTGTTGTAATGCCTTGTTAACCTCGGGCAAGTCTTTAAGTCATGTTTTAATATATGCACGCATGATATCAGTATATAGGAGCGGTACAAGTATAGCCTTTTAGGTTCTAAAACAATTAACCCCTGGGCAATCAGCCCCCTCCCCCGCTTAAATATTTTCTCATGAAGAAAAAAATGAGTGATCATCGTCATGGGATTCCTGACTGACCTAACGGTTTACAATTATGAATGGAACATGAACTAAATCCACGATTTTTAGAGAATCTGAGGCAAAGAAACACATTCCCTTTAAGCTCCCGAATATCTACAGTACTCTCCTCGATAGCTAGCTCGGGCCAAGTATATGATTTGCATCACAAAGAGTTTTTCCGACTGACTAAGCAATAAATATGTAATGAAATAATTATATGCTGACATTGCTAGAAGGAATGTCTTTGCAAAGCATTTCATGTGGAAGGTTTCGTTTTGGGGTGCGCCAAGAGACAATACGCATACTCTACAGTCTATACCACCTTTCTGTTCTAGTAGATATTACGCACCCCTGTACGTACTTCGTATGCTAGGTCATTGTCTACCCAGGAAGCTGTAATGAATGGAGATACCGTCTCGAAAGAATTTTCCGAGGGAAAAATATTCAAGATTAAGTTGGCTTAACAAAAAGAAATGTAACCCTCTCCAGCCATCATTTCCATCAACAGCTGTCCATATCAATGCACAGTCCCCCTCTGGCATTCCAAATATTACAAAGTGTTACGCAACGCCTTCTGCTTCCCAAAGTTCTCTATTCACTCTTTGGCAAAAATATGCAGGCATCGAGCTTTGAAGCCTTGCGTGGCACCGCAAAAATTAGGTCATGTTCAGTGAAGATGTATTTGGATATAAAATATAAAATACAGAATTCACAACATATGACCAATGCAATATTCTATTATTTATCAAATGCTTTTTCCGTTCTCGGATAGCTCTATTGAAGACATAGCCATTTTAACCAGCGAAATCGACCAAGGAAATCGTGAGTTAGAGCGAATGAGAGGTTTTCATCATCATGATTTTCTCATCTAATTGTTGACATTTTCCGAACATTTCCGAAATTTGTACATAGCTAGGAAGGTAGTCCAAAGGTTTATCTCCCTAAAGAACAACATGAAATTGTGTTATATGTTTGCGCATTTGTTGACTGAGGGCTAGAAGTTGTCAAGTTATCACCACTATTCACCCAAAGTACGGGCCGGCAAAGCAAAAGCCGCCGTACTCGCTGGGCTGGGCTGTTGGTGGAAAGGGAGGACTAAGTGCTACTAGGAATCTGTACTGTTTCGGAGGGGGATTAAGGGGATTACGGTAGGGGAAACAAAAGACGCGTGGTGCCACGGATGGCTTCGAAGGGGCCTCTTGGACGGGATCTCCATTCATTACAGTTTCCTGGTCTACCTGTCCCGGGATTCGGATTGTGGATAATAACATATTTCTGCACACGGAATCTGTATTGTGATTCATTTCTGGGGCAAGTATTTTCCGAGCAATGCGTGTTTCAACATAGTGCCAATACCGGATTCGCCATTTTAATGGACACCAACTCTCCTGTTTCTGATCGTGCGAAATAAAAGTATTTCAACGTCATTTTGTTTCTTCATGACACGTGTAAGAACAAACCTTTCAAATGAGTTGTTACTTGTTACTCTGGCTGGAATTTAAACAAGATACATGGGATTCCTTGGCAGCTGGGATGCATTTAGTTAACACAGTCAACACTGCTGACGAGGAGAAAGACTGAAGGCCTCACGCGTTTCGTCGTTTGTTAAATGGACTTAGCACAGAATAAGGACAACGGTAAGCTTCCATTCATGAGAATATTAAACTTAACGATAACGCTTTTAAAAAAATGAGTAGGATAACGGACAATCCCAAAATTTCTAAGTGTAAATCGGAATTTCGGTTTTGGAATAATATTCCAATATCAAAGGTGTTCAAATAATGAGATCAGATGATTTAATATGTCTGCAAAATTCCATGGAAATGTTAACTTACCAAAATTCATAAGATTTGCGATATGTCAACAAAATAAACGGGCTACTATCACAATGATATCAAATTTAGTATCAAAATCGAAACAAAACGAGCTGTTCGATATAAGTCTAGTGGTATGTCAATAGGATTACAATAACATGATTGACTTTATTTGAAAAAGTCACGTTTGTTTTGTTATATTTGAACAAATCCATGGAAATGTTCATTTGCCTAAATTCAAGAGATTGGGGATTTCAAAAAATTAACGGGCTTCCATGGCAAATTGTGAATTAAAAACAAAAGGAGAATGAGTTCTTTATTTTCTAGTTCGATTCTCGTGGATTGTCAATACGAATAAAAATAACTTAAAACATGACTTAATTTTACAAAATCACGTTTGGGGCAAAGGATGGCAACATTTTCTGCCAAAACGTTCTTCCTGTGAGTTTTAAGTATTTTATACCACAAGCGCTTCAGATCTGAAATTTAGGTAGGCCTAATGAATTATAATGAATGGAACATATATTACTGATAAGGGCTGTTCATATAGCCTATCAAAGAAGTCAAACGAAGGCGGACAAAAGTATCATGTCCGTTACGCTTCTTTTTAACACTGTGGCCACATCATCGGGAGTATATTTTGTTTAAGCCAATATTAGCTGTTACTCAAATCTGCCAAGAGGACGGGCATGAATGTTGTATAACCTGCATCATAACATTAGATATAAGGTTCATAAGGTTCATATTTATTGTCCATTTAACAATGGAAATTCGTTGTGTTACATGGTGTATAGATACATATAATTATACAACATATACACTTATACAAAAATTCAATAAAAGAATTTTAAACAGAAACTAAAAAATAAACAATCAAACAAAGATAAAGTTATGCGTAAAAAATAATGTTCATGTATACCAAGTGAGGTGGATTGACGATAAGTTTTTACAAGTATCAATACTGTATTGCATTAATTTAATTGCTATCATATAGTGTTATTATCGTCATTATTATCATCATCATTATTATTCTTATTCTTATTATTGTCACTAATGTCATCACCATCAATATATTATTATTATTATTACTTCCATCAATATTACTATTATTGTAATGTAAAGGTATCATTATCTTATTGCCCCTATATAATACCTTCCTCATTCAATATTCGTTTGGAGCCATGTACAAATGAGTTTAAGAGTTGATTTGTCCGACAGCGTGCTGATATTGACCTGTTACCGAACAGCATTCTTACAGTTTTCGTTTAAGGGGTGCTGATTATTCTTTAGGATGAACTGTGCCTTTTCTACTATCCTATTTCGACATAAATCTCTAAGGTTTAATTCTTGTCCTATGATCTTTTCGGCCTGTCTGATGATGATTCTATTCAACAGAGTGAAGTCTCCTTTACGACAGCTTGTGTATCCGACTACACAATCAAAAGCGATAATACTTTCGATTACTGTTTTCAATTTTAGAAAATGCATCCGTTGAAGTACCTTCCTGTTAATTGCTTTAAACTGACCCCCCTCCTCCTCCTTTGTACGTATGTACTATTTCAATTTCGCCGGACAGCGACTCAGTTCGACTGGTTTATTGTGTCTAAAGTTTTTTACGTGTTGAGATCCAGAGAGTTGTCATTACACCAATTAGTACACCAGTTTATTTAGACCACGTACACGCTGAAACCTTTGTCCACGTTTATATTCGTATTCTGTGCAAGATTTGTGGCTAATTCTTCGATGTTTTGTCCATATTACATCTGTTTTAAAATGTTAATAGGAGAGATTGCGATTTCGTTTTTGCCGCTCCAAAACCTTTAAACAACCTTCCACTTGATGAGAAACATTCTTATCTGTTGTCATTTAAAAAACAACGTTGATAAAGCAGTTGTTGTGTAGAGTAAATGTATATGCATGTAGAAGCTCCATTATATAAACAAATCGTATCATTATTATAAACGATTTCCAGCGTACATAACATGTGTGAATTGTGAAATATACCCATGATCTGGTAAAATACGTGGTATTAAATGTGCCATTACACATTCAATGCAGTGGGGAGTAATATATATAATAATACTAATACTAGTGTGAACTTATAGAGCGCACACTGTACACTGGTTAGTAGTCAGTACGAATTGGTGGAAGGGATTATCACTTACATGCAAACAAAATTTATTTGGGCCGATTACTATAGCTTGACCCATATTTTGCCCACAATGCGAGGCACACTTCTGAGCCGGGATGAGTCCTAGACAATGCCAATGATGCTATACAGTGCGTCCCAGAAAAAACGAAACCGAGAAGTATCGATGTTTTATCATAACTTAATCACAATCATAATTAATGAATGATACATATTTGGAAAAATGAGCCAGGAATAACAAACTTCTGTTTGTTTAAAGTAGCCCTTACATTTTCATAATTTTAACAAACGAATTCGTTTTCACTGGGTGCCTGCCGTAGCAAAAAGCAGATTTGACAAAAGACTTAACTCCGTTTCGTTGACAATCAGCCATGCATGAAGACTCTCGTCTACGGCTGATTGTCAACGAAACGGAGTTAAGTCTTTTGTTAATTTCGTTTATTGATACGGCAGGCAGGCAGGCAGCATTTGGAAACGAATACAATTATGGAAATGCAAGCACTATTTTAAACAAACAGAACTTTGTCATTCCTCGCTCATTTTTCCTGATTGAGGTGTCATATGAAAGGGCAGAAACTCAACTTTCTAGAAATGTGAATTTTTCTTCGAAATTCAGATACCGCCCGCCAAATGTCTTTTTGGTTTCCTTCATTCAAATTGCTTTTAATCACTCATACGTGAAATATGCATTATCTGAGTAGCATCACATAAAAGAGGAGACTCTAAGCTTTTCAAATATGTATCATTCATTAATTATAGTTGTGATTAAGTCATGATAGAACATCGATACTTCTCGGTTTCGTTTTTTCTGGGACGCACTGTAGATAAATGGACCGTGGATACGAGACCAACTGAGTCTAAACGGGGCCTAGCCAATGTCAATGGGGCAAATGGTAAATGGACCGTGACATGCTTTGATCCATTTCACTATTCATTTGTATAACATCATTCACATCGTTTTGATAAAATTCCAAAACACAGGAATAGCTTATATGAACAAAAACAATTCCTGTATCGTATTCTGATATATAAAAATGGTGAGAGGGAGAAAACCTGTTTGAGCATTCGGCTAAAGAAAATTCTTCTTACGACAGTCAGTATACAAACAAAGGCATGATTATTATATATATTGATTAAACTCCAACTATTCAAGTTTTGGTTTGTTAAACTGTTATCATATTGTTGGGTATAGACATTATAATACTCTACTGAATCTATTATAATACTGGTACATACTTGTTTTTTCACCCAGGCTACCCGAGTGCCAGTCATTGGCAATAATCTTTAACACCACTGCTCAATTAGTTCAATATATATCATCCCCGCATGGTAATGAACATTAAAGTGTTTGCAGTTTTACACCATGGGCCAATGAAGAAAAAACAATCATTTCTGACCTTCCTACCAGGCAAAATTAGTCTAGCCCTCTCTAAATGAACACAATGGTCTTTCATTAGTTTTCCAAACAGCTTTGGTTTTTAACCTTTAAACTATTTCGGGTTTTGATCAACTTGAACATTGAATTTACTCTACAGAATCTACGGTACAAACTTTTTCTTTTATCCAAGCTCCCCAGGTTTCCGTCATTAACATATTATAATATTTGTATGCGGTATCCGTCCGCGTAAGCAAATATAATAGCAGTTTTCAATGAAGGTACGTTTCCATTCTGTGTAAATAAGTTCCTCCTTTCAGGATATAGCTGCATGTGATACCGCTCTCCGAGGGGTATAGAATATCGTATTCGTAAATGATAATGGACATGTTTAAAGGGCTAATAAGTCTACATGGTGGAATTTTGTTTAAAGTACTGGTATTAACAACCTTTATTAGGCAACGGGCGTAAGGGGTAATTTGTGTTAAGAAAATTCATGGGTTAATAAAATACGATCTTTTTGATAAGATAGGTCTCGAATCCTAGAACGTACCTATTTCAGAGATAGTATGACTTTTTTCACATATTTTTTTCACAAAAAATGTTGTTGCATTCAATTTGTCAAACAATACCCACGACATAACCACGACATAACCACGACATGTCTTTTTTTTCTGACGCGTCCCCATCGCCAAACATTGCCCTTGTGACTACTCGAAATAGATTTCGGGCATGTTGCATGATCTGGTCACGACCAATATTTCATGGGTCTGCCACGACAAAATCTCGTACGATCCGTTGTGACCGGGGCTTAGTTACAACCTGAAATAAATTGGCCGATTTTGTCTGATATTTATGTTTGAGTTACATAATTACAACATGATTTCAAGTAAATTTCATGTCAAGTTACAACTTGCAGCGAGTGTTCCAATATTTTAGATTAGAAATAAATAATTCTGATGAAAATCCAAGATAGCTGAACTGTACTCTACATTTTATAGTCTGTACAAATTGAGTCTTACTCAGTCATACACTGTTAAAACTATACCGTACTGTGCCGCGGCACTAATGTCCTTTGGCAAGACATTAATTTACACTTGCCACTCTCCACCCAGGGGTTAAATGGGTACCGGTAGGAAGGAATTCCTTAAAATGATGTGAGCGTCGAAATCTGGACCTTGCAAGATCGATACGTGCGCTATATACAAATCCAATATTATTATTATTATTATTATTAATTGAAAGAAATTTATGCAAAAATAATACATTTATTATTTCATGTACATGAATTATGAAATTTGAACACAAATAGTGTGACATTCATTTAGAATAACTGTTACTTGGGCATCATAATCCTGCATACAAAATAATCAGCTAGTTTCTCAAATAAAATGTCAAAGCTGTAATTTAAGATTTTCAAAATTCAAAAAATCTTCCCGAGAAGAATGTACATCATTCGGTTTAACTGTGTTAAGAACTTTAGAAACATCTGTGTGGCAAATTTTATGGTAGTAGTAAGAAGGGGGCAGCCCCTGGCTGTAACCAAACGTACGCCCTTTTGGTAAACTCAAGTGTTACTTCTTCGCGGAAAAAGTGCACGTGGTGTAATTTAAGACGCGCCCTTTTGTCAAAATAACACCGCTTCAGGTTAAATAGACGTATTTAATCTTTATTTTTTTCAAAGGGATCTTCCAACAATTTCATAATTCCTTTCCAGTTTAGAATTACTCAAAAATAAACCCTATTGTCCTTAAAGAACCAGACGATATAAATCAACAATTAAACCATTACCTCCCTTTAACAACGCATAAATAAAACAAAAAACATTCAAAATCATTTTTCTCCGATTGTGATTTTTCAAGAGTCATCCTTTTGTCAAACATTGTTGGAATCAGTCAAAAGTTGTTAGACGATCCCGTTTACGATTTTTTTTTACTAACTATGGGGACCTGTAACACAAAGCTTTACAATTGAGTGTACGATTGGTTGATCGACCGTTTAATCAAATGCATATAAAGATCAAGGAATAGTAAACCAAAAGTAGGAGGACATAATTTCGATATAGCATACCAAATTCCTTCCTCCCTGATGTAAAACTTCTGTGATACTTTGATATAACATACAATGAGGCAGATGAATACTATAATTTTTTTAATATTTAAAGAATGCATTTTTGTACTATACCAGAGACCTATCAGAATGGAAGCATGTCGAGGCATAGCACCCCTCCTCTCTTTCTCTCCCTCTCTCTCTCCCTCCGGCTATCTCTCTCTCTCTCTCTCAGTCTCTCTCACGCACGCAACGCACAAACAACACACACACACACACGCCCACTGAATCGTTTCTCTTACTATAATACACAATATTGGTCCCATACCAAGTATATGATTTGCATCATAAATAATGTATTTCTGCCTTACCGTTAGACAAGAAAATTATGTATTTCATAGTACGATTTCCTGGCTACCATTAGTTCCAAATTCGCCTCATAATATGGTGGTTCCGTTTTTAGAATTGATCAGACCCTTCTAATTATCAAAAGTAAAACAAGCACATTCACATGACTCTGTCCGTTTTTCTTTCAATGGAGATGAACCATATTATATCAAAGCCAAACCTTTTTTCCCTTATTTTATTTTATCACAAAGGCCATTTTGATTATTTCTAAACCGTTCAATAACAGAGGGGAACACGGTTTTAGAACTGCATGTATTTAATTTCTCTCGATCCCTCTCTAACTCTCCCTCCCCCCTCTCTCTCTCTCTTTGCCTCCTCTCTCTCTCTCTCTCTCTCTCTCTCTCACTCTTATCTGTCTATTTCCCTCTCCCCCTTCCCCATTCAGTCTGCCAATTCACGTTTGAGGAAGATTTCTGAACTCTAGACAGCGAAACTGTTGCAGGTAAATTCTCCTGTGGATGTGATAAAAAATAACTTAAAAATCAGGTCTACTACTAATTGTTATCCAAATATTTCACATTTAACTGATTTCTGTATTTTCTTTAAATCTGTCATACAGCATCTGGATGTCACCATGCCTGTGTCTCTCGGTGAGTGGCGTGTTAGGATTGGAACGTTTATACGTCGGCGGAAGAAAGAATATGACTACAACTACTTTTGGAACAAACTTGTCAACTTGATAAAAAGAGCCAAGAATGTTCAGTCACCCGAAGAAAACAACTCAGAATGTAACGCTTCACCTCGCACTTCTCAGACTCCTTCACAATGTGACGGTCCTGAGTGTGATGCTGTCAAGGAGAGTGGATCCTCATGTGATGTAAAAGGCCCCGGACCTACCGAGGTCTCTCACTCTGAGTCTTCGTGTGCTGAAAACAGTGGTTCTCCAACGGCAAATGAGACCAACCCTGTTCGTGATACTACTGACATGCAGAACCCAGATCCCCGGCCATGTACGGGAGACACAGTGGACAATAGAGACATAGCCATTAATCTCATGTCACCTAAATACCCCCCTGAATCCACTCAAATAAGTAACACAGACCAACCTGAAGTTGGCACAGAGTCGTACTCACATGTACCTGCAGCCGTTCCTGGTGAGCCAGATTGTATCAAACTAGACAAGGAGGAGACATCAAACTCTGTATCGTCGGGGAAAGAGGACCACTCATGGGGCTTATCACCTAAACCCAGGCAAGATACAACGAGATACACCGAGCAAACAACACCATCTATCAAGGTATGATTGCTTTTTATAAAGTATTTCCTAAAACCACCCCTCTCACATAAAATAACTAACATACAGAAAACTTAACGGTACGTCTGTGAAAAACACAAATGCTATTGGTTATGTTGAACAAAATGTGAGCTGTATACGTTTACCTCCTTGCTCATGAAGTAATATGCTTTTAAATAATACACTGATTGCATTATGAGGAACATTCTTTTGAAAATCGCATGTCAAAATTCATTTTTGCCGGATTTGTGTAAAACGTGGAAACGTTAATGTCACCTGCGAACATGACGTAAATAAAATATGATTGTGAAAAGATGATTTTGCAACGTTTCTATTGTCGGGTAATGTGCAATAAAATGGACCAGGGCAGGGCTACACACCCTCATATATTCCCCCAAATAATAAATAGCCCTTAGGCAATGAAAAGTGCCCCTTTTGTTTTAATGGCATAACTCTTGCCCCCTCATTATTCAAAGTAACATTTGAAATCGATCTCCGTATTAGATGTTAAAGTTTTATTTCTTTCAGGTCATAATAATATTTGGCTCTCGTATAGCTAGCGCTCATATCTGCCAGATGTGACACTTTTGGCGCTCCCGATTAGTACACTGGCTTTAACACGGCTGCCATTACGGTGCTCTAGCATTTCAAGGAATTAATTCCTGCCATGTATCAATTTACATCACCTGGGTTGAGTGTGTCAATGTAGATCAATGTCTTGACAAAGGACATTAGGGCCGCAGTGGGACTTAAACCGCGGACCTTGTGATCGACAGTCCGATGACATATCCACTCGACCACAGCATCTATACATATTCAGTTATGTTCGCGTGTGATCTTAAACGTGTTCACGGTGTCTGGCACTGGCACTATCGGATTATGACATGCAATTTTCGAAACACTGCTTGTTAAATAAGGAATTATAATTATAAAGCTCATAGCTATGGAAATTATAGCTTTGACGTTAATTTCACTGCAATAAATAGTAGAACACCCATTACTCTTAGACATGATTCTTATTCTTTGGTGATTCTACTTGAATTTTGACAAATAATGACTGATCATTCTTTTCAAACTTTCTTCTGTCCATATTTCTCCTCCAGGAAGTAACGGAATATCATGGATCACTGACTTATTCCGTCCCCGGCGGTGAAGCAGATGCAGTCAAAGGGAATGACTGTCCAGACATGAACAACATATTCCTATTGAGATCCGGTGATGTAGAACGAAACCCAGGTCCGAATGATAAGTAAGCAGCACGAAAGAGCAACTAATGAAAATTAAAATCCATCAGTCCGTGTTCTTCTAAACTCGACTCTGGATCAAAGATCACGTCTACCGAACAATAATTCAATTACACCTCATCACAATTTCCTTTGGTATTATCTCGATTCTGAAAAAAGCTTAAAGGGCCCATGATATCGAAATACAAGTGTATTCCTGTTGGTGTACAGTCCTGCATACATCTCATATTTTGATATGTAAACTTCTGAATTTGTTTCATAGATTTTTAAATATTTTTTGAAATATTTGTTTTTCAAACTTACTAAGCTCCACCCCAAAAACCTCCAGATCTCATTCCCCTTGTGACATCATCTATCAGTCATCAATGAGCTAACTGGAGGAAGTGGCATGTAACTTTGCCAAAGTTGAACACCTGTTACAGTACCACAAACAATAGCAAAATATATGTTGCTATGTCAGACATGTCAGACTAAACTAATATTCTAAAATAGACAATGGTATGTAATTTCCCCCAGTTTAGTAAAGCGCTTAGAGACATTTGTATTTAGCGCTTTATACAAATTAAATAAATGTTATTAGTACACGTTCATGATAGAATTGCATGCTTCCATAAATATGTACAATACATCATCATTGCCTTTGTCTTCCTGTTGATGCTACAGCATGTCTGACATAGCAACTTGTATGTTGCTATTTCATTACGTATTGTAACAGGTGGTCGACTTCGCCAAAGATACATACCACTTTCTCAAGTTAGCTCATTGATGACTGACAGATGATGTCACAAGGGGAATGAGATCTGGAGGTTTTGGGGGTTGGAGCTAATTAGCAAGTTTGATAAACAAATACTTCAAAAAATATTCAAAAATCTATGAAACAAATTCAGAAGTATACATATCAAAATATGAGATTTATTCATCCGTAAAACAGTGTATTTGCAAGTCAAAGGATAATAACATTCATTCATTCATTCATTTCGGTTTATCCAATAGAAATTCCTTGTTAGGACAGTCGGGAGGCTGATACAAACAAAGATTACAAAGTTGTCATGTTCAAAAATATAAAGAAAAATTACAAATACATCAATATGGAAAAGAAAAATATATTAGTTCAAGGAAAAAATACCAATGATAATAATGAAAACTTCAATATATTGCACATCGTTCATAAATCGAATTTACATACATGGATGAGTGGGAAAAGAAAAAAAAATGGACAGAGCATTTCATTCCCTTTTCTCGTAACATTTGGATTTTGAGCGTTTACATTTTATTAAACACGATGGACAGAAATGGATATATAAAACACAAAGTGATGATATTAATAACGGATATACATGTATTACAAATGAACAAATCTACTAGCAAATATGAAGAAAGTGGGAAAGTAAGAAATGAAATGGGAAGCGGAAGAAGATCTAAAGACACAAATGTAACAAAATGTAACATAACAAAATCGAACGCAGTGTCTCATTCTGCATTATTGTACTATAGATGCTATGAAGTAAAGGGTCTTCCGCCATTCGTAAAGCATCTGATAAATGAAATTTTTTTTTAATACAAAATTCTGCAAATATCTATTAGCGCTAAATAAACTTAATAATTCTTCTTTTGTTCATAATTTAGCCCTGGAAGTCTGACCGAGTTTGAGCTCTATCTCCTTGCCGACGGTATGGATCCCTCAGATTTCAGGAAGGTCGGACTAGCTTTAAGATTTACTGAGGCTCAACTAAGCCGGTTTGAGAAAGACATGCTTGGCAATTCCATGCAAGCTACCTATCAGATGCTTTATCAATGGCGGAAGACAGTACGTGAAAGCGAGGCGAGGGAGATACTAGTCAACAAATTAGAAATCATTAAGCTGGTTCAACTTGCTGATAGTGTACGGAAAGGTAAAGTTTTATACACATACATACGCACATACACACATACACCCAGGGGCGGCGATTCCGGGGGGACGGGGGGACACGTCCCCCCCCCCCCTCAATTTTTTTAGGGGGGATCGTCCCCCCCCCCCTGGAAATTTGAAAAAGTGCAAAACAAATTGTATAGCATATACTGAATAATGACTACAACACACTTTTAGGCTCTGGAAGGCCCAAGAGTGCAGCGTTTAGACTAATAAAATTGCAAAAAAAATCTCGCTCGGTCGCTACGCTCCCTCGCATAACATCCTCGTAAAAAAAATTCGCATTTCGTCCTCCCCGGTCATTAACAGAAATCGCCGCCCCTGCATACACCCATCCCCATGAAACATAGATAGTGCCTATATTTGCAGTACCAACAAAAGTGAGCACACCCCCAACAATAAAGTTGAATATTACAATGTAGCTTTTAACAAATTTGTACTAAAAAAACGAGCCATGTTTTCTTTAAAAAAAATAGATTTTGAATTATGTGATAAATTTAAAGGGAAATTAAGTATTCCATTAAAACAGTGCAGCAAACTAAGGAGTAGCTGCTCTGAGACGTCGATCCCATGGTTGATCCTCGAAACGCGCGAAATAGTCCTCTGATTGCACAGTCAACACACGCAGGGAAAAAGCATGCCATTTCAGAGACATTTGTAAATCAATGATATCGAATTAGAAATAAACCACGTTTCAATTTGATTAAGAGGGCAACTGCCTCAAAGCCCCCCCCCCCTCCCCAAGCAGTACGCCAGAGTGAGGGAACATAGTGAACGAGTTGAGTTATGGTGACGGTAGTGATTACCCCCTCACAGGTTTTTGAGTGTTGTTATATTACAAAAACTTAGCAGCACTATAGTATAAAACAAGCAATATACTTTTTGCACATTTCACTTTTCTACAATATTTACTCGTACATTTTGAAGGATATTATGCGAGAGAGAGTAGCTACCGAGTAAGAAGATTATTATTTGTCTAAACGCAGTACTCGTTGGCCCTCCAGAGCCTAAAAGTGTGTTCAATTCAATTCAATTCAAATGAACATTTGTTACAGTCTTTAGTCAGTATTTGCTATACATTTTGTGTGTGCACTTTTTCGAATTTTCCGGGGGGGGGGGGACATTGAGGGGGGCGTGCCCCCCGTCCCCCGGGATCCTCGCCCCTGCATAGGCGGTATACCTCTAAAAGCATTCCTAACTTAAATATTAGTAGACGCAGTTAGGACTCTCAAGATTATGGTGTTAAAAAACGAATGTCCATTGATTAAAACAGGAACTTCCTCCACAGAACCACTAGCATCCGGTCAATGTACACATACTTGATTTTAATATCATAAATTAGAGAAAGAACCGTTAGCATCTAACAATCCCTCTGTAATATTCACATACGTATAAAATGTCGATGTCCTAGTGCAAGGACAGACTTTAAGAGGTTTAAGCATAATCATTAATTGTTTCTACGTGTATGGAACAACAAAAAACAATAAAAGGATTGTAATATTTTCTTAGAATGACTTGAGAACAAGCATATTTATTTCTTCCATACCTTAAAAAAAATACACAACAATTATTCAAATGCGTCTTTTCCAACTATTTACACATACCCCAAATTTTCTCTATACCTTCCTAACATGATAAACAGACCAACATTACAGAATACTGGAAAATATAGGGGGTAATATTGATTATAAAACAAACACACAGCAATTATTCAAATGTGTCTTTTCCAACTATTTACACATACCCCAATTCTACTCTATACCTTCCTGAAAAACATGATAAGCAGACAAACATTACAGAATACTGGGAAAATGTAGGGGGGGGGGGGTAACATCATCCCCATTTATTACTCAATATGACACAGAACGGTAGCGATTGGCCTGTTGAGAGAACATGCGATAGTGGATAGGCTATAGATCAGAGTAACTAGTAATCTGAAGCCCACTGCACACTATACGATCAGAATGCGAGAATGTGCAATAGCATTTGATATGAACATTCAAACTTCTAAAATGTTATATAACATTGAAATTTGAATAGATTTCACGCTCCTTTTGAGTGACGTCATATAATAATACAAATAGTACCATTTTCTACGATTTGAAGCCGATTCGGCTTTTATATTGATTTGCTCTTATCATGCCACAGGGCTAATCCTAATCGTGCCAAGCCCCAAATCCCCTCCGTGCGAGGATGTTTTTGAGATAATCTGCTTAACGCGATATATCTATGAATAGCGAGTGCAAAACATACAGCACAGTCCAATGAGCACGAACAATAGCTGCTATTACGAATGCGCCCGTGCACGCACATCGCACTCAAGCGATGGCTCTCTAGCATGTACAAAACACTATAACGATAGCGTGCATGCAGTCTTATAGCAGGCTATGAGTTAGAAAGCTTAAATGCTGTAATAGAACTATTAACAATTAGAATTATGATTACCATTAAGAACCTATACTTCAGGAATATAAATAAATTATATTGATTTTAAAAAAGGGTTCAGTTAATTTTCAGAATTAAAGTTAGTATTAACAAAATTAAATTTTAGTTGGTGATCATTGTAAAATTTGACTCATTGCCACATTAAGCAGAACAACAACAACAACGTTTAGCAGTGAGTAAAGACGACCCGAAAAACAAGCTGCACGCATGTGTCGATTTCCCGTGCAATCAGAGGAATATTCTCTTTTATGAGGATCGACCATGGGATAGATAAAGCAGCAAAGCCGCCTTGATTAAAAGCTAACTAAAGAGTTTCATTGGAATATTTTCTAGTCATTTTAGAGACAACTTTCTTCACCATCCCCTCACAGGTGATCAAATACCGTCAATTACAGAGGAGGAAATCCAACGGGTTGCTGAAGAGGTCAAACACTATTTGACAATTCATCTATGTCAGATTCAAGCCGATCCACTAAACAGCGAACTTCTTCTTGAATTTAAACGTATCTTTACCAATCTAACATTGATGGAAGAAGACAAAGGTACAAAACGCAAGACACCGCTTCTCTACGACAACCTCCTCAAGACCAAAGTCAACGGAATCTATCCCAAACGCTTGTTGGTAGAAGGTGAAGGTGGTGTAGGGAAGACCACATTTTGCGCCAAGATCGCTTGGGATTGGATCCACGGAAAAGGCTACAAAGATTTCAAACTGGTTCTTGTCATCCTCCTTCGCAAGGCAGAGGACAAGACTGTTGGAGAGATAGTGAAGTCGTATCTTTCTGACAACAATCCGGTCACAGCCAAGCAGCTAGACAAGTACATCCTCTCAAATCCGGATTACGTCTTTCTTGTTCTAGACGGCCTAGATGAGTTTGCTGTCGATATTAAGATCATTCAGCAAATCACCCTGATCACTCTTAATAAGCTATTCAAGTCAGGGACAGTACTAATCACATCACGGCAATGGAGATCAGATGTTATTAGAAAGGATACCGATCTCAGAAAGGTGTATGCTTTCATTGCTGTGGAAGGTTTCTCTGCTGAAAACCTCTCTTCTTACATCACCAAGTTCTTTCATCCAGACACAGCTTCCTCTGAAGATCTGAATCGATTCATATCGAACAACGACGTGATCGCAGAGAACATGGCCCCCTACCCCATATACACAGCCATGCTGTGCATCATGTGGAAAGACTTTGATGGGGAGCGCCGAGAGACAATGTCCAAGCTGCAAACATTCTCCCAGCTTTTTGATGAAATGATCCACTTTTTAGTTGATCATTACCTCTCAAAGCTCGTTGTGTCCTCAGCTGATGATGATGGAGAATTGGATAGGAATCGCTCGAGAATCTTTCATCATGTTATTCACATAGGTTGTGCTGCTTTCCGGGGACTTGAGAACAGACAGTTGGTGTTTAGAGAAGAAGAGTTTCAGAGCTCTCCGGGGTCTGTTGAGACAGGTTGTAAAGTTGGGGTACTTACTAAAGAAAAGCATATTCCTTCGAGGAGAGAAAGAAGACACCATTCCCATTCTGCAGTCTCATATGTGCAGTTTCCCCATAAGCTCTTCCAGGAGTATCTATCTGGAATGTATCTCACATCTCTTTACAACTCAGACCGTAATGAGTATAACAGGTTGATAGCGAGTATCATAAACAACGCAAGGGAATACCGGTACCTACTGTACTTCACCTCGGCTCAGAAGAAGGAGGTCGGCTCGGATATCGTATCTCGTCTCATAGCGTCGAAAAGAGAGGGTGTTGATGATAACTTCATTGTAGATGTAGCATACGAGAGCCAAGACCAAGCAGTGGCCAAAGCAGTGGCGGATCATCTCTCCTCTGAGTCCAGGAAGACACTGAAGATCACCAAGGAGATGCAGGCACACACAGTATCAGGACACATTTTCATCATGAATCATCGTGAAGTGGTAAGGGAAGTTACTTCAAATGTTAGCATATACATTTCATCTTTGTAGGATCTTCTTGAGTAATAACGTTTCTAGTTGATTTAAATTTCATTCTCTCAGACGTGGGATGACGTCGTTTAATTTGAACACTTGACTGTATGGAGCATGTTTAATACCACTTCTATGATCATAATTCGTAATATGAAAACTGGAATGTACACGAAAAACAAGTACTATTATTATTAACAAAAGTAAATGAGTATTAGGACTTTAATCTGTTAATAATAGGAATTGTGATTTGTTGTCATCGTATCACAACCCGTCTTGCCTCTATTTGCAATGAAACTTTTAATATCAGAAAAACACGTGCAAACCATTATGATAAAACTCTAACTTGAATTATTATGAGATAACGTACAGAACCCAGAACATGATATATATGGTGGGATCAGAACAATTCCTTTAAAATGCATAATGTTATTATTTGATTATTTTATGTTTATATTGATATGTAGATTATGAAAACAGAATTAGACACAAACCAAAAATGGGGGGGGGGGGGGACATCAGTAACAATTATCATTAATAAGGACAATATGGTGATTATTTTGAAGTCTTTATGTTTCTAGCCTCACTATGTTATTTGGGTACGTTTACCTTGTAGGATCACCTGATTATTGGGAAGTCGTGTGGTCGGACGGCTTCAGAGGACCTGGCTGAATTAATTTGCTCATCACGATCACTGAGATCTGTGACGATCGATAGGACTATGCATGATGTCTTCTACTCGGTGCTTGCGAATAAAGCAGTCGATTCCAAGGTCAGTGTAAATCTGTGTATTATCCATGTTGTCGTATTTTCGAGACATCATTCTTTAAAATAAAATGAATGCCATATTCGATCAGGAAAATAACTTCCCTGATGCCATAATATTATATTGAATTAGGAAAATGCTGGAAATCAAAAAATTATTTTTAGAAAAATAAGTTCCATTAAACTATTTGTCAAATATTTATGTTTGATGTTATATTTCATGATTTAATCCAGAGCGTTTCAAAATATATTAATTTCTTCATCTTCAATCACTCTAATCGAAATTACCAAATTCTCACATAAGTTTAATAGAAATCTAAAATCAAGATTGCAGTCTCCTATCTCTTATGTACATAGTTGCGATTACTTTCAACTCTTTAAAATACGGGTCCCATGTATTTGAAATATTTTGAGAGTAGTACTTATTTCAGGTGTCAAGACTTGTACATAATTAACAAATAAATTTAGATGAATTGAGATCGTTTGTTCAAAGGAGCAGCAATATTAACATAACTTTAAAAAGATTAAATGTTGAATCTCGAATATGATTTGTTTACTTTGTTATTCATTCAACATAATGTTACTATCACAACAGATTGAGACTCTTTACATCCGGTGTGAGGATCTCAGTAATCGTCCCTCTGCATCATGTGATATCGCTCAGTTCATCTGTAAGACGCCTCATCTAAAGAAACTGACACTCCGCGGTGGGGGAGACGACTCGCTACATGATGACTTCTATTCAATATCTTCGTCGATGGCATCGTCTGCAAAGGTATTGATCTGATTATATACTTTAGGACTGGGAGCACGGGTCGTGTTATAGTCATAGTGGAAGTGTACTCATTTATGTTGTCAAACGAAGCTGTATGATTTTACTATCCAAATTGTTACACCGTTAGGAGGAAGCAGCTTGGGAAATTTGAACGTTTTAGGAGATGGAAGTGGAAAATTGACTTTCCATCATAAAATGAAAATGGATAATAATAATAATAATAATAAATTTATATAGCGCAGCTTTTATACAAAATATATTCAGCTGCGCTGGTTAAGAGCTCCTTTTTACTAAATTCTACAAAATAAGATCACTCAGTTGAACAAATAAGTTTTTAAATTGGATTTAAAAACATTGAGAGATGGAGTGCTTCGTATTTCTATTGGCAAGCTAATCCATAGTTTGGGGGCAGCAATAGCAAAAGCACGGTCCCCAAGAGTTACTTTAGTTTTGCCATGGGGAATCTGAAACAATAATTTATATGTGGAAATGCGCAGGCTACGACTGTGTGATTGGACTTTGAGTTGAAATAATTCTTTGATGTAATGAGGGGCTTGACCACTCAATGATTTATAGACAATTAACAATATTTTGAATGAGATTCTTTGACGGACTGGCAACCAGTGGAGTTCTCTCAGAAGAGGTGCGGTTGAAGTGAATTTCGACCGACGATAGACAAGTCTTGCACATGCATTTTGGACTCTTTGTAACTTAGCTATCAGAGAATCAGACATTCTAAACAGCAACCCGTTACAATAATCAAGCTTACTTGTGATAAGAGCATGTACAACCAATTTCATACTTTCTTGATCAAAATATTTGCGGATACGTCTGAGATTGTACAGAAGATAGTCTGTTGATTTGCATATATTTTTAACATGTGTTTCCATGGTTAAATTAGTATCAAAGTATACTCCTAAATTCCTTGCTGTAACAGAGGGTATCACATTGGAGGATCCAACTCTTAAACCGTCAATGCTTATTTTTGAGATCTGTTGTGGAGTTCCTAAAACCAAAAATTCACTCTTACTATCGTTTAGCTTAAGATTATTGTTAAGCATCCATCTATGAATAAAATTAACACATTTTTCCAACATTGAAACACTTGCATCTTGAGTACTAGTGGATGGTCTAAAGGATAAAAATAATTGTGTGTCGTCTGCATAACAGTGACAGGAGATTTCAGGAAAATTATCCTGAGTGCTCTTGATTAGATTACTCGTGTATAACATAAAAAGCAAAGGGCCGAGCCGAGAGCCCTGTGGCACACCAAAGGGCACCTGGAAAGAGTCAGAGACAATGCCATCAATTTTAACTTTTTGATGTCGATCAGACAAGTATGACTCGATCCAGCCGATAGCAACACCGTTGATACCGCAACATAATCTGGAATGCTCAATAGTGTCAAAGGCACTACTCAAGTCAAGTAATAACAGGAGAGTGGTTTTCTGTCTGTCCATTGCAATCAGAATATCACTCTTGATCCTGAGTAGTGCCGTTTCTGTACTATGAAACTGTCTATATGCAGACTGATTGGATGGAAGGAGTGAATTACTGTTAAGAAACTGTAAAATCTGTTGTGTGGCTGCACCTTCTACCAATTTAGAAATGTATTGTAGGTTACTTATGGGTCTAAGATTACTAAATTCAACATCAAGCCCTGGTTTTTTCAACAATGGTGAAACAAGTGCGACTTTCCATTCTTTAGGAAAGTGGCCCGTAGACAAGGAGACATTGATCATGGATGTGAACACATGTAGTATAACATCAATATATTGCAAGAGAATCTTTGTTGCAATCGGATCAGCAGAACAAGACTTCTTGCTGAGCTTCATTACAAGTTTCCCTACTTCCTGTTCAGATAAAAGTTTAAACTTATCAAGCTTGATACCATCAGGTACTGGAATAAGACTTGATGAATCAGTATCAATTCTATCCATTGAACCTATGCTAGTTTGAATGTCACTGTGAATGTTTAGAACCTTGTCATGGAAGAATTTTCCTAAGTCATTCACAAAAATCTTCTTATCAATGTTACATGGCATCACTGGTTGTTTTTTTGAAACATTAAGCAGAAATTTGATGACAGTGAACAAGCCCTTTGAGTCATCTTTGTTATGTGTTAATAAATCTTTATGATAAGTTCTGTGAGCAGCATTCAAAACATACAATGCTGCATTACGAGCTTTCTTGTACTCATTCAAATCGTGATCAGATCGTGTTCTAGACCATCGTTTCTGTGCTTTTCTTCTTTGCTTCTTTGCTGCTCTAACCTCGTCCGTGTACCATGGCACATGAGGACGGGCAACTACTCGTTTTGAAACTAAAGGAGCATGTTTATCTAAGACCTTTCTGAGTGTGATATCATACAAGGAGGCCAGATCAGAGATATCACTGGGTACATGTACATTTTGACAGAGTATACTTTCTGCAAGATCTATACTAAACATCCTAGCATTAATACGGGAGTATTTGCGATACGGCACAAGTTTGTCAGCCAATAATGGTTTACATGTACTGAGATGGCACATAACAGGAATATTATCAGATAGGAGGTAATCACATGGCCATGGTTGGCCAACAATTATTTGTTTGTTTGTTTGTTTGTTTTGTTTTATTTCCACTTTTTCATATCAATACAAAGAAACATACAAATAAATATGATGAAAAACATATAAGGTTGACAAAATTTGTTTCTAGTTAAAATAAAAGTTTCATACAAAAGGAAAAAGCAGGAGACCACATGTCGTAAGCGTAAATGCTTGAACATGACCGTGGCCTCTGATCATCAGACTCGCGACAAATAAGTAGGTCAAGGGTATGACCATGTGAATGAGTACTAAAATTTACAAATTGAGTACAACAGAGTGATTCGAGGAGGTCTCTAAATGACTTTGAATCAGATGAGCTTACATCAACTCGAATGTTAAAATCACCAGTAATTAGTAATGGAACATTGGACAAAAGGTGATTCTTGAATATATTCATTGAACTGAGAAAGAAACAGTGAAACAGACACGGGATGAGATTCTGAATATGGTGGTCTGTATACATTGATCAAATGAAAACGAAACGATTTACAAGAAATATGATATTCAGCATACTCAAATGATTCCTTTTGACCAGCGGCAACTTGACGAGCATCGATGGAATCTTTGGAGAGAAGACCAGTTCCACCACCGCGGCGACCAGTCCTAGGATGGTGAAGGAAGCGATACCCAGAGGGAACAAATTCTCGTAGAACTGCAGTGTCACTCTCAGTTAACCAGGTTTCTGTTAGTGTGACTAAATCAGCATTGCTTTCATAGACAAAATCGTGAATAATAGTTGTTTTATTACGAACAGAGCGTAGATTAATTGAACAAAGTTTAAGACGATCTGAAAGTGATGAAGTTCTAATCGCTGCTTGACTTACATGTCGAAGACTATTCTTTTTCCTTCCGCCTCGATTACCCCATCTGGTTTTCTTACGCGTCGTCTTTTGAATTCCATATAATCCAATAGTTTCACAAACATGTAATGGAAGAGGTGCAGTGAAATCTTTCCACTGACAGAGTTCAGCTGGGGTGTACTTGATGACAGCAGCAGGTTGATTGACAAGACGTTTTGTAGCGAGTAGGGTGTCATCATGTTGCTTGTCTGGGCCGGGATTGGGGTGGACATCACCGGCATGAAGTAGTTCCCACTGGAAGGAGGCATTGCTGTTAACACTGTATGGGATCCTTGTTTTAAGGAAATGTTTCCTGGTGAAAGGTTGACAACCCAAAGGATGGACAATGGTCTGTCCACTGCAGTCAACGAAGTCAATAGCACTGGCATAGCAGCACAGAATGATGAATAGTCCCAGATGAAAAGGCTGCATTGTGTTTGATCTGAGTCTAAGCATTCAAGTTCGTTGAAGCAAACAATACACAAAAGCTACACAGTGAGGTACATGTACATGTACAGTAATGCACAGAGGTGTACAGGGAACATGGATTCTTACATATGGTACTAGTACAAACAGCATATGGTACTAGTACAAACAGCAATAAAAAAAATGTAACATTCAAGAACATATGAAATAATCACATATAAAACTTACAATTTGACCAGCTGATGCCATGTAACTTACACAATCATATAGTAATAGTACAAAAGATCAAATATAGCAAAATCAAGTAATTAGGAGCTCCTTCTTGGAGAGCAGCATAAGCATGTACATGCTCGTGCGCTCAACCCAATCAGAAGACGATTTAAAAGATTTAAGAATGAAAGGGAATGATATCTACCTCATAAAATTCATTTAATATGACAACAAGGATGGTAATGAAAGGTGCGACGGCTATTGGAATTTCTGATAAACATTCTGTTACCCAGTGAAAACTGCAAAAAACTTTTGTGTTACGTGAAATTAGAGTTTCTAAGTGATATTTCAATCAAATGAAGAAAACAAATGGATTGCATTTGTGAAGGAATGATGATGGCAACTGGATCATTATGTAATGACCCGGTCCCACTGGCCGATGGACCCAAAACGTATGCATAACGGACACAGCGGACGAGCAAAATTTCGGGTGTGGCTCCATCCGTTCTCATCTGCTCCAGAAATGGACAAAATTTGCGAAAATTTGCGAAAACAGAACGGAAAATAACGGACGTGGGTAGTATGTAGCGGGGATGTTAAACGGATGTTCATCGGAAGCCTAGTGGATGAAAGCGGATGGAAGTGGATGACAGCTTTGAATACTTTATATACGAGATGCATACGCTTATATCCTTTCTATTTCCGTACTACTAACGATGTATAGACGTTCCATACCTTATCTTTCCCCCCTCTTTCCGTTTTCAGCTGCAGCGGATGTGAGTTGCGAAGATGCCCAGAGGATGCAGAGAGGATACAGCGGACGTTTAACGGATGATAACGGACATAGAACGTTTGTTGCTCGTATTTGTCGCGGATTTACATCGTACACGGCGAAAGTTCATCCGTTATAAAAGTTTTGTGCAGCTCAAAACTTTTTGCGCGGATG